CCTCCCGCTCCGGGGCCCGGTTGCGGCCGGGGAGGCTCATTCCGCCCCATATCCCCTTCCAGGCGGGCTGTTTCCCCACACCGGCCGCGGCAGCGGCGGGCTGGGAGGGGACGGTGCCCGTGGTGAGGGCGGCTGCGGCGCGTCCCGGCCCGCAGAGCCCTTCCCGCTCCCGGGACAGCGCCTATCCCTGCGGGGGATGGGGTTTCCCCACACAAYCCGCCTTCCAGTGAACTTGCCCGTGCCCAGGTGTGTGGCAGCCCCTCGCTTCCACCGCTGGCCTCTGCCTGTCTCGCCGCCTTCTCTCATCTGCCCTTGCCGCTTCTTTGTTTATTTTACAGTCTTCTTTTTTAGCTAATTCATTTTTTACTTGGGCTGTATTTTCCATAAAGATTTTGATATGTGTGTTCACAGGCCCCATGGCTTTCCTCCTGCATAAAACAAAGCCCTAGCCTCGGCCACAGGAGGGTCACCAACCATCTATAGGTGCCAACGTGGAAGCCACACGTCTCTAGGCAGTTTCCACCATGTGGTCGCTCCAGGTCTGTTTCCGTGCAGGTTTCACATGGGTTTGGCCCTAAAGAGCCCCTAAGGAGGCTGCTTGGCTGCATCGAGCTGCTTGGTTGGTCACATTGACCTGTTTGGTTGGCCGTGTTGAGCTGCTACTTGGTTGGCCGTGTTGAGCTGCTACTTGGTCGCATTGACCTGCCTGGTTGGCCATGTTGAGCTGCTTGGTTGGCCACGTTGACCTACTGCTTGGCCACGTTGACCTGCTTGGTTGACCACGTTGACCTGCTTGGTTGACCACGTTGGGCTGCTTGGTTGTGTTGAGCTGCTTGGTTGTGTTGAGCTGCTGCTTGGTCACCTTGAGCTGCTTGGTTGGCCACGTTGAGCTGCTGCCCTCTCATCCCGGCTCCGCAGGGCCGCGGGGCCCTGCAGCGGGATGTCTCCGGTGAACGCGCTGCACGAAGGTTCCTTTTCTGGGCGAGGAATCGCAGGGGGCAGCAGCTTTCACCACAAAAGCATCAGCCRCTTTGATGCTCCCCGCCTCTGGCGCGTTAGTCCTGCAGGCACCATTACGCTTCAGGGGTAACGGGCCGTGTTCGGTGGCAGCGCCAGGAGTGGAGTGGGAGGTGGAGGATTTTTTTTTATTCTTTCCCTTTCAATTAAAAAAACCCCCAAAACCTTGTAGGGATCGCTTTGAGGTTTCTGCTGTGTGAATACCTGAGGTCAAGCCGTGTGTATTTCCCAGGGCAAGAACAGGGTAATTACAGGTGCTCCTGAGGCATTTTCCATGTTTCTCCYTGCAGTTTCTCCCTCAGCATGAATCAGGCTCTGTTGTCACAACAATAATCAACATTATTTCTTTTTCTGTTTCACTTCCTCAGCCTCAGAGYGAGCAGATGACTCCGGCCACCCTCCCGGAGCCTGGAGGCTGCCTTGGTGACCAGTCCTGCCAGCTCTTCCTTGCAAGGGCAGCCTCCCAGAGCCCGCAGAGAAGACTGCGGTTGGAAAGATCTAAAAAGTGCTAGAAAATGAATAATGCTTCCTGCTCCCGTGCATTGAAGGAGGCTGGAGAACGCCGCTGTGGCTGCTTAAATGAAGCACTTGAGAGGGTYGATGCGTTGCCACTGGGTGAAGGATGTGGAGGTGGCTCCTCTGAACTCCCTCCGTGGAACCTTTTCTTCTGTGGCAAGACAAGGCTGACGCTAAGCTCAAACGCAGGATCTACTTTGCAATTGCTGAGACAACACCGTATGAGCGCGAATGGCCACAGGGGGTCAGCCCAGCTCTCCTCGCTCGGCAGGGCTCCTGTAGGCTCCGTGCGGCCAGTTCTGGACCAGGCTCATCCAGATGCATCCTCCTGGTGTCCGTCAGGGTCAGCCAGGGACCTCCTCACCCGGGAGATGCATCCGGCGGAACGTCCCTCCAACCTGCATCGGTGTCAGCAGCCCTGGAGCACTGCAGCAGAGCAGTGACCTCCCATTGGGATGAGGCTGCTTGTGAGGGACACCTTTCCTGAGACTCCTGAACSCACGGGGGACACCAGAACCGGCTGCACAGGGAGCCCTCGCTGGGAAGGGGCCCGGGCGCCCAGCCTGGGGCTCCTGCTGGGCTCTGGCCTCTGCCCCAGGTGCCACCAGCCCCGCTCTAAAGGTCGTGCAGCCAACGGGTGAGACTCCCGGCGGCCTCCGGAGCCGGGATTTGGTTGCTAGACAGCAAGGGGAAAGGTAAAATAATACATTTCCACTTGTGGCACGGACGTGCTCATCTCTGCCAGCTCYGCTGCGGCAGATTTTGTTGCAAAGGAGGGGAAAAAATCAGAAAAAAAAGGCAGGGAATTGCTACCCTGTGTAG